AGATACTCTCTGCCTATGTTATGGGACCTTTGGGTGGGTGGGTATTCTTCCATGTTCGGATTAGCTAGCCAGACTAGAAACTGCTCGACCAAGGCTGCTGAACCCTAAACCCTAAACTCTAAACCCCTAAACCCCTAAACCCTAAACCCCTAAACCCCGAAACCCTTAAACCCTAGACCCCTAAACCCCTAAACCCATAAACATTGAACCCCTTTGTCAAAGCCTCGCCCGAGCCCGCGGAACCCCGACGTTCCTGATGGTTCCTTGAAGGTTGGCCCCCAGGGCTTACACTGTAGAGTTTAGGGTTCTAGGATTGTAGGGTTGTAGGGTTCTAGGGCTGTAGGGTTCTAGGGTTTACGGTTTAGGGTTCTAGGGTTTTAGGGTTCTAGGGTTTAGGGTTTAGGGCTCTAGGGTTCTAGGGTTTAGGGTTTAGAGTTTAGGGTTTTAAGGTTTTGGGGATTTAGGGTTCAGGGTTTACGGTTGAGGGGTTTAGGGTTTGGGGTTTTAGGGTTCAGCGGTAACATCTTCCCGGAGCCCTAAGCCCCAAGCCCTAAACCCCAAACCCTGCACCTTACACCTTACACCTTTCGCCTCAAACCCTACATCCTAAACTCTGAACCCGAGCTGCGGGCGCAGAGTTCCAGCCCTAGAGCCTTCTAAGCCCCTTGTCTTCCCCAGTGTAGTGGCAGTAGGGTTTAGGGTTTAGGGCTTAGGGCTTAGGGTCTAGGGTTTTTTAGGGTTTAGGGCTCAGGGGGGTTTGCGGTATACTACACCTCAGACACCCGCCCTACTGTACATAGAATTTAGAGTACAAGCATGCCTCAATATGGTAGTCATAATTACAAGCAGAATCATAATAGTAACATTATCAGACTCGTAGAAGTAATAATAGTGCATGGCCTAGGCTCATAAAGCTCCCTCTTTGCAGAGGTCTCTTGGCGAATCCGCAAAACTTAGACATTTCGGAGCTGCTGGACGTGGCGCCTTCGGCGCCTCAACCGAGAGGAAATGAGGGAGTTTGAGGTTTTTGCCGCGGGTGTTTGGAAAGGTTGACGGTCAGGGCGTATTAGGCTTATGTTGGGTCGAGGGTACTACATCGCGTCTAGGACTCTAGGAATGCTTTGAGGCCTGGAGTAGAGGGTCTGTATGGATAGTACAATATAGCAATGCAGTATATAGGGCCAAGAAAGGGTCTATTTGGGGGCGTTTGTGGGTTGTGACCCGGTTTAGGGTTTTAATTTGGGTTTAGGGTTTAGGGTTTAGGGTTTAGGGACTCGTTTAGTCCGTGTGGGCCTTGACCCTCAACCCTTAACCCTTAACCCTAAACCCTAAGCCCTAAACCCTACTTGGAGCACCTCTCGGTGCTTTCACGTCTGGGGTTTGGCCAAGCCAGGGCTCGCCGGGTGGTCGGGTTCTCGCATTGGCCGAAGACTTAGCTTGAGCTCGATGGTATGAGGGAGACCCTTTAAAGGAGACCTTTCTTCTGGCTCTCTTAAAAGGCGACCTTACTGAGAGGGTCTATATCCCCAACGGTCCCCCTACTCCTAACTCCTAGCAAGAAAGATCTTTCAGCCTAGACCCTGAGCCCTGAGGTCAGCCCCTTCGCTGATGCGCTGAAGGTGGCATCGCATGTCGTGGTCGTTCCCAACAGCACAGTGGCCGTGTACACGCGCCTCTGGTGTGCCGCTTCGCCCAAGATCGAAGTAACACGCCTCCAAGTTGGTACGGTTGATCATATAAATCCAGCGTTACCCATAGTAAGGAATAGACATATATATATATATATACACATCATAATTCCCCATAGTTTAGTGTCCTTAACATAATGCACGATTTAGATCATCAACAGTAGTGAGGGAATTTTCAACCCATTGCCAATGCGCGCCAGGGGCGAAGCCAGCATACCCGGACCCAGAAGCCCCAAAACCCCAAAGCCCTAAGCCCTAAGCCTTAAGCCTTAAGCCCTAAATCCCTAAACCCCAAAACCCTAAACCCAAAACCCTAAACCCAAAACCCTGAACCCAAAACCCTAAATCCCTAAAGCCTTAAGCCACAGTCAGGTCTACGAGGCTTACTTGGCGACGAGGCTTCAGAATCTCGGCAGGTAGGACTCTCTCGGGGGCTTCGGGCTCGGTTTAGGGTTTAGGGCTTAGGGTTCATGTTGAAGGTTCAGGGTTTAGGGTTTAGGGTTTAGGGTTTAGGGTTTAGGGTTGAGGGCTGAGGGTTGAGGGTTGAGGGTCGAGGGATTAGGGCTTAGGGTTTGGGGTCGTTTGATATAGCAATAGGTTCGGGGTTTCTTGGTGTTTGTAGGCCTCTCCTGAATGTTTTGAAAGCCCTTAATTACCCTAAACCCTAAACCCTAAACCCTAAACCCTAAACCCTGAACCCTAAACCCTAGCTCTACACCCCCCGAACCGCCAAGGAAAGTCTTCCTGATGCCGGCGCGGGCGGAGAAGAACAAAGCCAGGCATGCATTCTGCATCCTGGCGTAAAACGAACGCCCCAAAGGCCTTAAATGAAGCCCGAAGCCCCTTAAACCCCCCAGGCCTTAAACCCCTAAACCTTACGAACCCTCAACCCGAAACCCTAAAGTTTAGGTTTAACACACCCTCCACTTTAGGTTAGGGTTTAGGGTTTAGGCTTTAGGGCCTCAAGAATTACCTATATTATTGTGGGGGCCCTTATTATGACTATCCCCAGAACCCTATTCTAATCATTAAGGCCCCTAAACCCTTATAGTAGCCCTTGTAGTAGCCCTTATAGAACCCTGAACAAAAACCTTTTTACAGGACCCCAGAACTCGATTCTAATTCTTAGAGCACAGAGGCCGTCCCCGGTCTCCCTGAAAGGGTTTAGGGGTTTAGGGTTTAGGGGTTTAGGGGTTTAGAGGTTTAGGGGTTTAGGGGTTTAGGGTGTTTAGGGTTTAGGCTTTAGGTTCTCTGAGGCTCGAGAAACGGGATCGCTGTGAATATGGGGGACCTTAATCATTAGGCTCTTGAAGGGCTTTATGGTTCTATGGGGCCCCATGAGTGTTTATTGGGGGGTTGTAGCCCTGGAGAGTAGCCTTAGAGAGTTGGATCAGGGATTTGGTGGATTTGAGAATATATCATATGTCTACAAGGGGACCGGACCGCAAAGGCATACAGTCGAAGTCTTTTATGGGATCCTTGAGGGAGGGAGCTTTATGTATGTATTTATGTATGTATGTATGTATGTATGTATGTATGTATGTATGTGCACACACACACATATATATATATATATAAGATAATAGTAATAATGATAATAATAATAATAATGATAATAATGATGATATTATTATTATTGTTACAGAAAGCGTCGCACTGCAGGCCCGAGTTTTGAAGCTTTCTGTTTTTCCATACTATAGGCTCGGATGTTCCAAGAGTCTTGCATCTTTTTGTTTTTATGCATACAAGTAAAATGATTGAACGATCTGAAAGAAAGCTCCTGCAGGAATGACGCGCGTGGATAGTGTCTGCAAAATCAGGATAGGCTAAGCCCAAGAGCCAAAAGGCCTGGAGTCCGTGACCCTGGAC